CCCAGACTGTGGGGGCGATATGCTGACTCTGTAAACCGCTTAGAGGGGGCTGAAAGCCCTATGAAGCGGTATATAAGTCTAACTGCTATTGCTAAACAACCATCTTTCTTCCCACCAATTAAAGAGCCTACATCCAGTTATGTCTCATACTGTGTTGCTAGGCAGATGAAGGGAAATCACAGCTTTTCCCAGCCCCATTCCCTGCCCTGTGATCTGCCTTCAAAGCTTCCACTTAGTTGCCAAGGAAGTCTACGGCATTCCCTGCGGAGGGACCTTCTCCGTTTCGCCAAACTACCAGAGCGCGAGAATTGTAAATGATTTTTAACTAAAAACTAATGTGAAAAAATGGAACTGCTACCAACGTAAACACGTTAAGTTTTTAAAGACTATTTTCAGATGTTGTAAAGGGAAAATTATTGTTCCTTGTCATTAAATCCCAGAGGACACATTTTTCCTTCTGAGTCACGGTGTTCTTTTAATTAGATTACATTTTATTGGAGGCTTTTGTGTTTCCTTTTTTTTTTTTAACAATCTGTAAAAAATACGTCCCTTTTTATGTATGTACAGAAGGAAAAAAAATCTTTTTTTTTTTGTATAATTGTCCTTGGCGACTCATGAAATCCAATCCAAAAGCAGGAGTTGTTTATTTATGTCTTACCAACATAAGACATAATGTATATCTAAAGTGCATTATGTTACAAAATATAGATAGATAGATAGTTAGAAAAGTCAGCAGCACCAAGATAAAAGTTCATGGAAATAAATACATTATTCAACACAATAAATTATGGTAAAGGTGACAACAAGGATTGTCTGAAGTACAAAATTTCCCTCCCAGTATTCACAATGTTCAAATGTGCAGCTTTGGAGAAGATCTGCAACCAAGGTTTTATTTTGAATCATTTACAATATTTACAGATAATAAATACTTTCCATATGTTCACAATTACAGAACACTTGAGTAAGTTTTCCAATAAAAAAAAAATCGTAGCGGAGGATGTCAACGCCTCCTGCGAAGGAAAGGAAAAAAAAGGAGAGAATTATTTTCCCATACAAATAACTGGACAGCATCAATAGTCTCATCAAAAAAAAATTCTGAGTTTCTTAGAAGAGTTGATGGACAACATACATCAGTCCAAGGATCTCGGGCCAGCTAGTCCCTTGCGTTTTTATGGTTGCCAGTACAAGGAAATTAATAAAGCAAAGTGTGATGGAAAACATCTTCCAAGAAGTAGTTTCCTTGTGGGGGAGTGCGCCCACACATAGACATAGATGATTAATCAATTTTGTTGTATACACTGATGTACAATGACAATAAAGGCTATGCTATATTATGGAACCGGAGGCTAAAACATATGAAGAACGGTTGCAGGAACTGGGTATGTCTAGTCTAATGAAGAGAAGGACTAGGGGAGACATGATAGCACTCTTCCAACATCTAGGATAAGAAGCCATGGAGGGACACTAATCAAGGAGAGGAGCAACCTGCAATTAACGAGAAATTTCCTGACAATTCACCAGTGGAATGGGTTGCCTTCAGAAGTTGCGAATGCCCCAACGCTGGTAGTCTTTAAGAAGATGTTGGACAGCCATTTGTCTGAAACAATCATTAGAGGCTTCTAAGATGAGACTGGAGATCCATTTGTCCAGAATGGTGTAGGGCAGTCTTTCTCAACCTTGGCAACTTGAAGATGTCCGGACTTCAACTCCCAAAATTCCCCAGCCAGCNGGGGGCAATATGCTGACTCTGTAAACCGCTTAGAGAGGGCTGAAAGCCCTATGAAGCGGTATATAAGTCTAACTGCTATTGCTATTGCTAACTACGTGGTGCGTAGCCCATACCTAGGTTTGCAGACCTCCTTCTAAATCCAGAATATTTCGCCCCAGGGAAAGAATCAATGCAAACTGCAACCGGGCGTTTCTGCCTCGTGAGAACCAGCCTGCATTCGCGTTACCTAGTTTGGGTAACGTAACGTCTGCAAGAAAACCACAGAAGCGCAGGGAGCGCCTATCCTAACCCTTCAACTAATTCGCCTCGAAAGGAAAACCTGTTCAAGATTAGCCTTTTTCATAAACTTCCCGGATTCCTCTCCTAAACTGGGAGCTTTCTTCCCATCTTCCTGAGTCACCTTTAAAAAGAGTGAAGTGGAGGTAACAGAACTCGGATCCGCGCATCCAAGCACCGCATCGATCGTATCGATCTGGTTAGCTCCATCCTACGCTCCAGCCATCCGGCGGGTGTGATGAACGAGCGCGGAGGGGGCATTTGAGCATCTCAGCATCTCAGTTCTCCTGTTTTCTCCCCGTCAACCGCCTCTCGTGTCTCCCCCCATCAGCGGCTGAACCCAAAAGTCGAGCGTCTCAACGCTCATTGGCACGGAGGGCGCACAAGCCGCTATTTGAAGCGCTCTGTATTTTCTCCTCTCCTCGTTTCTGGGATGCGTGCCAATGTGCCCACGGCCGTCCTTTAGCATCCGAAGTCTATATAATGTGCCTGCTATGGTCGTTTGCAATTTAAAAATAACAACACCCCGCAAATCTCCCAGCGCGTGGAAAGATGCACACTTGAGGCTCTACTCCTCCCAACCCACTTTCTCTCTCGCCTTCACACTCGCCTTTAAGGACAAGCTATTGTACTAAACTAAACTAAACTAAACTTTTGACACAATACAAACAAGCGGTTGGGACGCTCACGTTTTTTTTAGCCCTCTCCGTTTCTCTAAAGATAAATGCTACGCCCGCCAAGTAACCTTCCTAATTGGGGGGGGGGGGGAAGTGAAGGGAGACAGAGAGGAAAATGGGGGAATAAAAGATTAAGAAGTTCAGGGTTTGGCGTCCGAAAGTCACCCTCTCTACTCCATCCGTTCTTTCATTCAATCAATCAATCAGTCGGATTTTCATGTCAAAGAGGAAATCAAGTCTTTTGAGCCAATCGCTTTAGGAGTTGAGCCAAAGCCATTCAGGGGCTGCCCCGTCGTTTTTTGGGGGGGACCTCTTAAGTCGAGGGGCTGGCCCGAAGCCCTCCCCGCGTCTCGGGACAGAGGAAGGGAGGAAGGAAGGAAGGAAGGAAGGAAGAAAAAAAAGCCACTCACAATCGGCGTCCGTTCGCGTGGCCTTCCAGGGATCGGCCGGAGGACGGCAGGCAGTAACTCAGCAAGAAGACCACGAAACTCCACTGTTGGAAGTGCCTGGGGAACATGGTGGCTTTCCGGCGGATTTTTGGGACCTGCAAGGAGAAGCGGCGCTTGAGCGAATGGAGCGAGACGCCAGGAGACCAGGGAAGGGTTGGGNTCTACTCTACTCTACTCTACTCTACTCTACTCTACTCTACTCTACTCTACTCTACTCTTCCTCTTCTATTCTTATTAGGGTTTTTGATCAATGACAGGACTAATAGGACTCATATCTTCTCAATACCTTTCTTCTCCAGATACAACTTAATACCTTCTTGATGTTGACCTCAGTCACAGGTATGAGCTGCTCGAGCTTTCTCAGTTTTAGGATAGTTAAGCAATGGCATTTTGCAATCAGTCCATACTGGAAGAACAAGGATGATAGAGAACCATAGTCCGGAAAACAAAGCAAAACATTGTGCTCCAGAAGTCAATCCTGGGAAATAATTACTGATGGGAAAAGGTGTGCTTGGCCCTCAGGGTAAGGTGGATGCATTGTCAGTTGCAGGGATAAAATAACAGATGGGATTGTAGATTATTCCAGTGGATTCCTGTCTGTCCATCCTGCCAGCAGCAGGATGTGCTACGCCCCATTTCTAGAGCTAAGGTCCCTGTTTCGTTTTGCACACAAGGACATGATGTTTCTGCTCTAATTATTTACAGCTAAGTGACAATACAGATCATCCTCAACCTAAGATCACAATTGAGCCTGGAATTTCTGTTGCTATGCGAGGGAATTGCTATGTTAAGGGAATTTTGTCCCATTTTACAACATTTATAACCTTTCTTGCCTCCGTTGTTGAGCGAATCCCTGCAGCTGTTAAGTCAGTGACATGGTTATTAAGGGAAACCGGATGCCCCATTGACTTTGCTCATCCACAAAAAGGGATCGCGTCAACCTGGGACACTGCAATTGTCATAAATGTGAACCAGTGGCCAAAGGATCTGAATTTTGAACATGTGAGATGCTGCAACGGTTGTATGTGTGAAAAAAATTGTCATTGGTCACTGTTTTCCAGTGCCGTTGTAACTTTGACCAGTCACTAAATGAACTGTCATAAGTCGAGGATTACCTGTAGGGTTCGACGTGTCTACGATACCCTTAGTATCATGGGCAAACTCCTTCTGATGTGAGGCTAATATGATTTCAGTGAAACGTATCAAGGATAGAAGGAAACCATTTCAAAAAATCATTGAGAGTTGAACACAAGCTTAAAGTTAAGTCAATCCAAATAACAAGGTTATTACCACATTGCTCAGTCCCTTCTGATTTATAATAGCAGCTTCTATGAAACAAATTGGGGTGGGTATAACTTGATTAGTCAAGAGCTGAGATGTTATGGTGCAATCTGAAGTAATTTACAAGGAGCCTTGCATCTGAAGATAAATCAAAGATTACAAAAACTTGGCGGAATTATAAATTGATTATGGCCTTGGTTTATAAAGAAAATGTATACAAAATGTTCTACAGGTGGCATCTACCCCCAGCAAGATTGACAAGAATGTACCTGTCTAAAAAGTACTAGAAATGCAGTCAGTCCCCAGGCACATACTATCACATGTGGTGGACGTGCAGCAAAGCAAGAAATATTGGGAGAAACTACATAATTGGCTAGAAGAGATAACTAAACAGAATATAGATTCGAAGCCGGAATTATATCTGTTGGGAATAATACCAGAGGGTTACGATAAAGGGATCGCATATTTAGTCTTACATATACTGATAGCAGCAAGGATTATATTTGCCAAATACTGGAAGAATGAAAACACTCCGCCAGATGAGGAAGTAATATGAAAAATGTTAGAATGGTCTGAAACGGATAGGCTAACTTTTAAAATTAAAGATAAAGAAGACTCAGAATACTATCCGATATGGAACAGTTTTTTTATGAATGGCTAGAGACATTGGGTAGGAATTAGAGGGGAAAAAAGACTGTCGGTATTAAAATAGAGATGGTTTTCAATCATAAGTATGATAATGTACAAGATGTAAATAGGCCAAGATATAAGAAAAATATCTTTCTTATAAGATATAAGAAAATAGCTTAAACGATTTGGTTGTACTATTAGGATTATAGTTAATATAAGTGCTATCACATTATAGTCACTATTATGAGTTCATGTGTTAATATTTACCACGGCTCCCCCCCCCCGCCCCCGGTCTTTGTCTGTGTAACTGACATACTCTGTATTCATAAACTGTATTCAAAAATGCTTATAAATTATATATAATTATATATATATTTGTGTTTGTGTTTGTGTGTGTGTGTATTTTTTTCTGATAAATAAATGAAGGGAGACTAGTATAGATCTATTTCAAGCTATTTAGCTCTCATCAGCTAGCCATACCCTTACTGGGATTTGAATTTTATATATTAGGCAGTTATAATAACCTCTAAGCCACAAGCTCTCCTCCCTTATTAGCTGAGCCAGGGGAATGATTAGATGTTTTGTCAAGGCACCTGGTATGCCCAATTACACACACACACACACACACACACACACACACACACACACACACACCAAAAACTTGGTGTTCTGTGTTAGAATTGAGCCTCTTAATGGCCAAGGGACAGAATTAAAAACCGGGACCCTAACTCAAATCTCACTGAGACTCACTTTTCCTAATAATAATGCTTATCCTCTCCTTCTGGATTATGCAGATTATTGAAATGAGACCTATACATTCTTCTGAGCAGTTCAAGAAATGATATGTGTTTTTCATGATTGTTTCACAGCTCGCTCATCCATGGAAATTATCCCAATGTTAAAGAGAATGCACGGGGGGGGGGGGAACCCACCCTTGTAGATGTTGGCATTGTTGGTCCGTGGTCTGT